TTAGAGAGATGAAATATTTCCAAACTCTTAAGAAAAGAGAAGGAAATATTATGACCATCGTGGTCGCGATGCGTTAATAGTTGGTTCAGGTTGAGCCACTATTACTCTCCCTATGGGTACACAAATTACGATGGAGGATGCATTGTTGTATCCCGACTCGACTCGTACCCTTCTAAGTTTTAGAGACGTCCGTAAGAATGGTTTCCATGTGGAAACACATATGGATAATAAAGAGGAATTCCTTCTCTTTACCAAACTTACTGGATATGGCAAACAAATCTGTGAAAAGATTTCTTCACTCCAAACTGGATTGTACTTTACATACATAAAACCCATAGAACATGTTGCTTATAAGATAATTTTCCAAGATGTTGATACATTCCGAAATGGGCATGATCGACTTGGGCACCCTAGAATAGGGGTGATGAAGAAAATTATCGGCAATTATATTGGTCATGATATGGAAAATGCAAAATTTCCCCTAAATAAAGATTTTTATTGTACTCCTTGTGCAACTAGAAAATTAATTTTAAGACCATCATATCTTAAAATTCGAGCTGAACCCGCTCAAATTCCGTGAAAGAATTTAAAGAGATATTTGTGGTCCGATCCAACCATTGTCGGGGCCATTTAGGTACTTCATGGTATAGATAGACGCATCTACTAGATGGTCTCACGTGTCTCTTTTATCAACACACAACCATGTTTTTGCCAAAATAATTGCCCAACTTATTAAGTTGAAGGCACATTATTCTCAACATCGGATTCAATCTATCCGAATGGACAATGCTACTGAATTCTCGTCCCATGCTTTTAATGATTATTGCATGGCATTGGGAATTTAGGTTCAGCATTCTATTCCATATGTACATACTCAAAATGGTTTGGCTAAATCATTGATTAAAAGAATTAAGCTCATTGCAAGACCTTTGTTGATGAATTGCAAATTGCCTACGTCGTGTTAGGGTCATGCAATTCTGCACGCTTCCGACCTGATCCAACTACGACCAACTGCATATCACGAAACATCTCCTTTGCAGTTAGTACGTGGGATTCCTTCAAGTATTTCCCATTTGCGTAAGTTTAGGCGCGCAGTATACATACCCATCTCACCACCTCAGCGGACATCGATGGGTCCTCATAGGAAACTAGGGATCTATGTGGGATATTCATCTCTGTCGATCATTAAGTACTTAGAACCTCTAACAGGGGATCTATTTATAGCCCGATTTGCTGATTGTATTTTTAATGAGGATCATTTCCTGGCATTAGGGGGAGAATTATACCAAAAGGAATGCCAGTAAATTGATTGGAATGCAGAAGGTATTCCATTTTCTGATCCACGTACTACAGAAACTGAACTACAAGTTCAAAGAATTGTTGATTTGTAAAATATTGCAAATAATCTGCCAGACGCTTTATCTGATTGTAAAGGTGTTACAAAGTCTCTCCATCCTGCAAGGAATGTGCCTAAAAAGTGGAGGTACCTAATAAAACCACTCACCCCAAATTGGCAAAAAGAGGGGAGAAGCACTTCCAAGAGGCAAGATGTGATTGCTGGCAAGCAAAAGAAGACTGAAAATGTAACTCAACCTTTGGTTGAAAGACACCTAGAGGACATACATTGTCCTGTGGATAGAAGTGATCCACAATCTAGCTCAGTTATGCGCATAAACACTGAAGCTGGAACATCGGAAGACCCTAGATCCATCATTTTGGGAAGTCATGATGAATCTTTAATGGTAGACGAAATCTCTATAAATTTCGTAGCAACTAGAGAGTCTTATAATCGTAAGTCCATAATAGCCGACATTTATTTCTCTGTACAAACTACAAATATCCTTCAAACTGATTTAATCCTAAGTCTATAACGGAGTGCAAGAAGCGCTAGGACTGGGATAAGTGGAAGGTAGCAATTGAAACAGAGATTGCCTCGCTTTATAAAGGGAAGTGTTTTCGGCTGTAATGCCAACACCCCCTGGTATCTTCCCTGTGGGATACAAATGGGTTTTTGTCCGTAAAAGGAACGAAAACAACGAAGTGGTGAGATATAAAGTAAGGCTTGTGGCACAAGGTTTTATGCAAAGGCCTGGTGTTGATTTCAACAAAACTTACTCTCCGGTAATGAGTGGAATAACATTCCGATATTTAATTTCACTGGCAGTACAAAATCATCTATCTATGCAGTTGATGGACGTAGTGACCACATACTTGTATGGGTCTTTAGATTCTGAGATATACATGAAAGTTCCTGATGGAATCAGTATACCAAATCCTAAGGCAAATCGCAACATGTATTGCATCAAGTTGCAGAAGTCATTACATGGCTTAAAGCAGTCGGGCCAAATGTGGTACAATCGGTTAAGTGAATTCCTTAAGTTGAAGGGATACACAAATAATGATGACTGTCCATGTGTCTTCATTAAAAAATCATCAAGAGAATTTTGTATCATATCGGTGTACGTTGATGATGTAAATATCATTGGCAATGAACCTAATATTAATGAAGCACGTCATCATTTAAAGATAGAGTTTGAAACGAAAGATTGGGGTCAAACCAAATTCTGCTTGGGTTTACAACTTGATCATTGTGTTCTGGTATATTTGTATACCAAGCTGCTTATGTCCAGAAAGTATTAGAGAAATTCTGCCGGGGACCAATACTAGGGTACCCGAAGAGGATGGGCTAATGGTCATCAATATTAATTCATCCGAACAGTCAAGAGCGCGACTACGGCTCCAACCGACCCCCAGGTGCACGGGCTCTGCCTCGATCGACCTCTGGGGAGCCTCTGGGGAAGGACTCTGCCTTGCTTGACCCTGAGGCTACGGGCTTCGCCTCGCCTGACCCTTGGGTTTGCGTTCTGCCTCGCCCGGCCTCTGGGGGAGGACTCCACATCGCCCGACCCCAAGGTCACGGGCTCCACCTCGCTCGACCCTTGGGTTTGCGCTCCGCCTCGCTCGACCCCGAGGCCATGGGCTCCGCCTCGCCTAACCCCAAGGCCGTGGACTCCACCTCGCCCAACCCTTGGGTTTGCGCTCTGCCTTGCCCGACCTCTAGGGAGGGCTCCACCTCGCCCAACCAAGGCCGCGGGCTCCGCCTCGCCCGACCCTTGGGTTTGCGCTTCACCTCGCCCGGCCTCTGGGGTAGGGCTCCGCCTCGCCCGACCCCAAGGCCGTAGGCTCCGCCTCGCCTCACCCTTGGGTTTGCGCTTCGCCTCGCCCGGCCTCTGGGGGAGGGCTCTGCCTCGCTCAACCCTAAGGCCACGGGCTCCGCCTCGCTCGACCCTTGGGTTTGCGCTCTGCCTCGCTTGACCCTTGGGTTTGCGCTCTACCTCGCCCGGCCCTGAGGCCGCGGGCTCCGCCTCACCTGGCCTATGGGGGAGGGCTCTGCCTTGCCCAACCCCGAGGCCATGGGCTCCATCTCGCCTGACGCTCGGGTTTTGCGCTCCGCCTCGCCCGGCCTCTGGCCGCGGGCACCACCTCGCCCGACCCTAAGCCCGTGGACACCGTCTCACCGGACGAAGACCCATGCCACCGCCAACCAGTCCAGTCCAAGTGTATGGGTGTGGTAGAACCGCCTAATCTAATGCCTCACGGGAGTGCTCGTCTTCTATTAGACACTAAGCACTCGAGGGAGAACACTAAATTACTCGGTTCCGTCGGGCACACCCCAGGGGAGAACCCAAAAATCCACATTTTTGGCATCAGGATCACAAATGAGAGAATAAAGCGTACATCATTCTTACCATTTCTTATATCACTTTACATGTACATCAGAGTATAACATTTATTATTATAATAGCATAATGTAATCATATTATCAGAGTTATGAATAATTTAATTAAACAGCGAAATATAAACATGTGAACAGAGTTACAGCGGAAATAAACATCTATTAATGACATGATGAAGTATTGATATGTAAACTATGACAATAGGTTATAAACTTTCATTTATAAAAACATTTGGTAAGAGTTATAAATAAAAACTACGATCGCAGCGTAAAGGAAATCCTCGCTGAGCCCACCAGGAGGTATCCAAACACAAGAGTCAGCTCTAGCATCCACCGCCACCTACAACAGGGGAATAAAACCTCAGTACTCAATTGTACTCAAAGAAGACTTACCCGATATGAGGAAAGAAAAGACTCCAAGGAAATGCAAGGCTATCTCGCTTGTGGGTTTATTGCATTTGCAGAAGCATTACTAAGCATGCGTCATTATATTCAATTTTTATTAAGAGCAGCATTGGTTCATTAACTAACCATTCTATGGAAGCACCTGTGCTACTTTCAAGCAGGTGGTAAGCAATCAGATTTCCTTTTTCCATCTTTCATTCTTCAGTTCTTACTACGATGCTAAACCGTAGACAAGCCGTACCGGATTACCCGGCGATCCGCGAATCAATGCCCCCAGCTGGGTACCCCGAAAACACACGCCCCGCTTGTACCCCGGGCACAAGCAGGACCAACCCATCACTCTCCTCTCCCACAGGTGTCCGTGTCCCGTCCAAATGGGACTTCAAGCCCCCGCCCCTGAGTCCCGGACTCAGTGCGGTGCAAGGACCTCCTCCACCAAAATAAAACCCTAACAGTCGGTCCGCAAAGAGCTGGATCCACGACAAGAGAGCAATAAGTCTTTCAAGCGCCCATACACAAGTATATGCTCAGGATAATAAGTCTGTGACCTGCCTAGAGCCATTTATATATAGCGATAGCTTTGGCAAAGTTAGATTTTTCTGAACTCTAACCTGTAGGTTGGTGGCCCATACTGGGACGTGCCACTTGGCCGGAGGGACTCGCTCGGCGCAAGCATCCAGGGCTCCAACAATGACATCCCAGCCCCCAACAACACACTCCCCACTATCATCACCAAGTTCAAGCGCCAGGGCCTCAATGTTGTTGATGTTGTTGCCCTCTCAGGTGACTTTTCGTGTATTTCTTAGTATCATATGTCCTTCGTTATTGACCAACTTAACGCACACTCATATTACACAACATGGATACAATATCATGTGCATATACAGGTGGTCACACCATAGGTATGTCTCGGTGCACTAGTTTCCGGCAAAGGCTGTACAACCAGACAGGCAATGGCATGGCTGACAGCACTCTGGATGTATCCTACGCCGCGCAGCTGAGGCAGGGGTGTCCCCGCTCTGGTGGTGACAATAACCTTTTCCCCTTGGACTTTGTTACCCCAGCCAAGTTTGACAATTTTTACTACAAGAACCTCCTGGCCGGAAAGGGCCTTCTAAGCTCTGATGAGGTTCTGTTAACTAAGAGTGCTGAGACAGCGGCCCTCGTGAAGGCATATGCTGCTGATGTCAATCTCTTCTTCCAGCACATTGCACAGTCAATGGTGAATATGGGCAGCATCTCACCACTGACAGGGTCACAAGGTGAGATCAGGAAGAACTGCAGGAAGCTCAACAACGGCCACGGAGGGCACTGAGGTCACTTTATGTGCTGAATTGTACGTGATGTTGGTGGCGTGTTTTGTTTAAATAAGTAAGCATGGCTGTGATTTTATCATATGTTCGATCTTTTGTGTTTTATTTAAACACATTGTAAAATGTATCTATTAATAACTCAATATAAGATGAGTTCTTTTTTTTTCTCGAACTACGCAGGAGAGCTGCGTGTCATTTCATTACAGACTAAGTACCAAACACACCTCCACACTTACAAAACACTACACACCCAAAATAAGGAAAGACCTGACCATAGAGCACCAAACCTAAGATGGTGCTACAAGCGACCTAGCAAGCAGCTCTTTGAGCTTAGAAGCTCCAGCCAAGCACCACAGGGTGCTTTCATTTGTTATGGCCTGCAGGAGCACCTGGGAGTTAGGGAGAACACCTTCAAACACGCCCACCATTTATATTTTTCAAGTGATAACAATCCAGTAATATATTTCCTATATCTCGCGAGAGACAGGCAATCACTCGACTTCTACCGGAGTCCTGTAGCATAGCATTCTACATGATCCTGGCATACTAGTAAGACTCATAGGATAAAGATATATATGCAAGTGGGTTTCATTCAACACATTAAAACTTAATGCACAAATATAATTTAAACTGCAGAAAAGTAGGGGTTATGCACCGGGGCTTACCTGGGTAAGATATATATTAAAAGTTAGTATCTGCATCTTCAGATCATCCATCATCAACTGGATAGAAAGTCCATTGCATCATCTCCTGGAGAGAATACCATTACACCATCTTTGGATTCCCAATCATCCTTCAAATCATCTGTTGATGCATCATCGTACCTATAAGATATGCATGCGATGCAATGCAAAGATGTAATTAATCAACTGCAATCGTGACTCGTAAAATACGACGTACGCCTCTCGAGTTAACAGACTAGTTCTAACGACAACCGTACTTAGGCTACCTATACACGTTGTCGGATAAGGCGTTGTTTCCCAACAATTATTTTAGTTATATAAACCAAGGTGTTTCTTTATTTTATTCTATCGATTTAATCCTTATTCGAAATAGAGCATCATTAGCTACCTAACAAACTGATTATTCTGGAGCTACAAAATTACCACGAGTACCTAATATTGCTAAGATCCTACTATAAAAATTTCAGATGCAACACCATCACCGATTTATCATAACAATTCCTACAAGTTATCTTTTTACCATATTAATTACCATAAATTAATTATCTAGCTCCCAAGAATATTACCACACTATGTAAACAAAATACCCTATCAGATAGACCATGATTTTAGAAACTTAATGAAACTAGTTTGGCATTTTTATGATTTTTCTACTATTTACTACGAATTTCCAATCATTCAGCCGATTACTAATATTAACAAAATACCGAAGAAATAAGAAAAGACCCTTGGGCCCGAAGTGGCCCAGCTCGCCTGGACCAGCGGCCACGGCAACCCAAGCGGCGTAGGCGTGGCCCAACGCGTTGACAACCAACCGGCCCTCCGCGCGGAAGTGAGCGGCTCGGACAGGCCGGCCCGGCGCGCGACGGCAGCAGGCCGGCGGACCAGTGAGGTTGGCGGGCCGCTCGGCGCGCGACGGCAGCAGGCCGGCGGACCAGTGAGGTCGGCGGGCCACGCAGTGTGAACGGCCCATGCACGGCATCGACAGGCCGGTCCAGCTGGTAAAGCCCAGGGCGAGACGTCTGTTTAGCAAAAGAGACCTCATAGTCTTTCTAATTTTCCTCGCGACTGTTGACACTATTTACTTCAGTCACACGTTTTGCATTTAGGATCCCGAAGTTACTCGTCTTCGCATGAACATGGTCCCCGACCACCCCTCGAAAAGAGCATGGCACAGAGCTGGCCGACCGGTGGCCAGACCCGGCCGGGAGAGGCTCCAAGGCAGTGGGACGCCAGTTGCGAGCGATGCAGAGCCAGCGTGGGGTCCGCGCGGCCACGCAGGACCGCAACGGCCCATGGTTAGGGCAGCAGCGTGCAGGGGCATGTCTGCCCACGTGCAGACGCGAATGGAGACCAAGGCGCGCGCGTTCTGATGATATGGCTACAAAACCGAGAGAGCGGAGGGGTAGCGAAGGTACCAGGCCTCACCTAGGTCTCGCTGCAACGGTTGGTTGGTGCGGTGAAGCTGCGGAGGGGACTGGCCACGTGCGCGGTGAAGGGCGGCGGCGCTCTGAGCGTGGCGCGGCCGTGTCAGCACATCGCCGGTGAAGGTCCTGACCAAGCCGAGACAAGCATCAGGTAAAGCAGGTTAAGCCGAGTTAGAAATCGCCTTTGATCGAACTGCTACCGCTGCTTTGGGCCTTACCCCCAAACCTGCTCTATAACAACGGCAGACAGACTAGTGGCGACGGCGATGCTACGCACGCTCACTCTGGTGGATGATTCCCACCACGGTTGGCTGCAGTGGCAAGCTATGGACCTTGGTCACCAGCGAGTGCAAGGAATTGGAGGGAGGCGTTTCACGCATGAGGAATTTTGGAGCAGAGGGAGGGCGGTCATGGTGGCTAGCGACAACGAAATGATTAAAAAGCTCTGAGTTGGGCGGGTTGACGAGCTGACCGGTCGAATAATCAAGGTGTGGGGGTAGGGACGCACGCGGCACAGCACGGCTGGCATGGCACGTCGGTTAGCGCGGACAGCGCCAAGAAGATGTGCATGCGCGCGGTCAGGGACGGCAGCGCGGCGACGGTGGCTCAGCTCGTCCAGGCGCTGAGCCGGTGGGCCAAGCCCCGGCGTGGCCAGACAGTAGACGCGCTGAGACGTGTGGTGACCGCGGCCACAAGCTGAGCAGCCGAAACCAGTGACGTGCACATTATTTAAAGTAGACCAAAAACCTCTTAAAAACCCGACTAAAGCTAAACCAATTTCACAAACCTACAGTCCACACCATCGGCTATCTAACAAAGCAATACGCACAACAAACGGGCCACCCGAGAGGGAGATACAAGCGCGCCAACTTGGGTTCGTCACTCGGGCACCATTTCGCGAACTGAGTTACAGCGCCTTTCAAAAGAACTTCAGGATATTTTTGGGGTAATGTCGCAGCGTCAAACCAACCTACGAACTACACCAAACCAAGGTACTCGTCGAGAACCATCAAGCTATACAAAAACATGGATAATTTGTTTTATCATTTTATGTGAGTTTTAAAACTTTAAAACACGAGAGCTTGGTTAATTAATTTCTTTTAGGCCTTAATTAAGGTGCTCAGCGAGCTCGTAACACCAGAGGTGTTACAACCAACCCCCCTTAAAAAGAATCTCGTCCCGAGATTCGAAGCAAGAACCAGAAGAGGGAAAACATGATTACATCTCGTAGATCAGGGATTACACGAAAGATTACACGACTTTGAATACTAAACCACACGGGGATCTAGGGGTACATGGTTAAGAGCAACCTAATACAATCGAGACTTACTCTAGAAGTCGGGAAGACGAGGACAATGGAGAAACAACAAGAAGATGATTATCCAAAACATGGCGTAGCACCAACAGATCCAGAAACAGTCGACTGAGAAATAAAACATCGTGAACCCTAAGACTGGCTACCCAAAAAGGGAACTTGAACTTCTTCGACAAACCGGATCCTTTCTTCTTCTCAAATTACACCATCACCTCAGACTGACAAATCTCGCTTCACAATGGCGACTAATCTCGTAGCTCTGCTCCGAATGCGAGGGGAATGGGGATGAAGAAGAAAAGCAAGGACCAAGGGTATCTTATATAGACAAATGGAGATGGGGAGCAACACACCGGAGGCAAATGCGGCAGGGATGGGATACACAGACAGTGCATGCTGTGGAGATAAGGTCAGAGACATGGTGTGCTTCCTACGTGAGCGACAGAGGGGGAAATAAAGGAGAGGAGAGGGGGAGGGGTCTGCTCGACGAGGTAGGTGTGCGGACGGTCATGTCCACAAAAAGAAGAAAGAAAGGAGAGGGAAGGGGGTCTGGTACGAGGGATGAGGTGTGAGAGTCGAGAGCAGACCGGATGCTAGGAAAAGGAGAAACGCACAGTGCACAAAGACGGCGAGCACGGCACGATGCCGCGGCCACGCGAAAACAGGGAGCTAGGAGCCCAATACAGACAGCATTCGTAGGGCATGTAGCGAAATAACCCAGCATATGTTGCGCGGTCAACTAAACACAGGACTTGGGACATGGCGTACGCTCAGGCTTTACAATCACTCCCGACTACCCGAAGTTAACTTTCCTTACTACTTTCCTTTTTCTTTTCCTTCCTTGTCCACCATGTGTACCAACCTCTGTATAAACTGAGATCACGGCATACAGGCTTCCTCTAAAACCACCTCCTCGTGTTGACTTTGAGAGAACACTATGTCATCAACCTATTGTGGATTTCCCGTTTGAACACCTGAACATTTCCAAGGAGAAAATTTTAAAACAAAACGGTGCGGTGGTGTAACTTGGCACATGTACTTGGTCAACAACCTCGATACCAGCGCGTGCCGAGCAGCGTCACCATGTGGCAGCTGTTCCATAGGGAGCCCTCGGTTTCGTCGTGGCACCATAAGCTTTTAACCAGGCAACTATTACCAACTTACACGCCATGAAGGCAGTGGGGTCATAGACCACAAAATAAGGGGAGTATTGCAAGGGAAAGTTTAAACAACAAAGGTTCCCTTCACAACAAGGGACAAGGAATTCAAATCCAACGACGGATTTGTTTTAAAAAGATTCAAGTGTTCTGTTGGGACATCCACAATTAGTCGATACAGTGTCCAAAATTATCCAATCACGGCTGATCTACTGGTATCTGAATGGCAACTTCTCTTGTAACTCACTTAACATCACCCTAGAAAACTTTAAGCACGTCTAACAAAACTTAAGGTAGATGAACGCAATAAACACAACGAACTAAATAAAATGCATGTTCCAATGGTCTGATACGGGTACATCATACAGGCATTTAGGCTCCCATGCATGATACAGCATTAACCTTCCCTACTGGCAGGCGATC